GGGGTGAGCCACCCCTTTGAATACTTCTTTTACCCCTTACGCGAGTAGTAATTCTAACGATGCGAGCGCTACTTGCGGAAAATTAGAGAACTCCGATCCTACGTGACCAATACATTTCCTACCGACATAAATTACCTAACATGCTTTTAATTTTGCAATCAAGGTACGCAAAGCGAAACGATAATCTGCAGATAACATACAGAATGTGACTTTATATCGTGATAAAGACTAGCGGACCCGCTGGCAGAGGATAACTTTTAATTGCAAAATTTCATCGAGGCGCTCCGAGTACTAGATCAGGAAAAATCTGAACATCTTCGACCCCTAAGCGGGGTTCGATTTCAATACATGGCGTTGGATGTCCTCATACTACTTCGTGGTCAATGGTATATAGATCAGTGGAATCAGAGTTCAGCGGGAAATGTTTCACGCCACTGTTTGAAAGAGAGGCACGGGCCCCTGGCGCCCTCTACACTCTTTACCCCTCTGTAAAAATTGGAACTACTTTCAAAGGGGCGAAATCTTCGTGATCGGTAAAACAGGGTATACGTGGGCGCCGCGTCGTAATCTCGATCATCCACGCATAACAACCTTATTTGGTATTCGTAGTCTTCTTTTCCAACCTACGTTGACCCTGAAACAAAAAACGAAAAGGCGATAACTTCATTCTATCGATACTGTGCTGTATTTGAAATGTACAGACGCGTTTTTCTTTACCGATAGAGAACATTTCGCCCCTTTGAAAGCAGTTCCACGGCATTAGGGAGCCATGCCTCGCTGATGATGGTGCATTCAGAGGAGACAACTGTTGAGTGATCGGTTAGCGCTCATCTGCTGAATGGGTACGTCCACTCAACATGTTTGCTGATCGGACCAATCAGATCGCATTTTCAGCAGAAATCGCAACATGTTCCCAACTCATCGGTAACCGCTTTTCTCCTCTGAATGCACCCAATGGCGTGAAACGTCTTCCCGCTAGAGTTCTCTGTAACATTAAATTGTTGGTTTAAATTATTATTCTCGGTAACGGTATTAAATTAAAATTCTCGGTAACATTAAATTGGAGAAGGTAACTGTGAAACATACCGTAAGTTACCGGGAACATTGAGAATTTAAGAGAACGTTAATTTCGTTATTTATACTTTAGGTTTCTTCGTTTAAATAACTTTTTTTTTTTCAATCAACTTCAAAGTTCAAGCTAAAGAGTAATAATTACTATTAGAAAATATTGATTTTAGGGTCGTATTTAATTCCAGCTAAAAATATTCACGTATGTACAAATTCACGGAAAATTCCATGTCATTTGTTTCAAACGAACTGATATTTCATTCTGCGACGAAGCGAATGGGAGGTTTTGATTGGCTATGGAGAACGTACAACGGAAATTCCCCTCTACGATGTTTCTCTATAGCTAATCGAAACCTCTCGTTCGCTCTGTTGAAAAATTCAAATTCTCATAATTTCTCGATGAAAAAGGCTTTGGAGAAATTACCGATAAATTACCGGGAATTTCTCTTCGTTTCTGACGTAACTTACTGGATTTAGAACTCTACTTCCCGCTCGTCTCTGGTGGAAAAAGAAAGATGGAAGAAAGATGGCGGAACCACGTTCCTCTTTTGTTTTCCGGATCTCGGCCGCATGTATTTGTCAGGGACTTACTTGTCATGCGGTAAGTTCTCCTTCGCGCTTCCAAGAAGAGAGGCTTAGTCGTTCTATGCTCATGCTGGCCAGGAAGAAGCTCGTTTCGAATGTCGAAGCCGGCGACTCGCCCGAGGGGAACCTCGTCCCCCGGACTGCTGCAAGACGAAGAGGACGCCGAAGTCGCGTGGGAAATCATCCGCAAGCGATTCCCCAAAGCTGCGGTCGTGCTCTGTGAGATGGAAAATGTCGTTGAACGGGCTGACAATCTTCTCCGGCGACTCGGGACCCCAACAGAAGGTGATACCTCTCCTCTGGTGATTCTTAAGGTGATATGAAAGATACTGAGAAATTTCATCGACGTCATTACAATTTTTTTTATCGATTTTACGAATTCATCTGTACCCTTTTTGGTGGGAAGGCCATTTTGAATACTCAACTGGTAACATGAGCTGGGGCGTCATGTTACCGACATTTATATTTTCGTTGAAGTCTGTTACACTCTACGTTGATAATTATACGAAATGAAGAGTACCGTATGTCATTTCGGTAAAATAATGATAAAGAGATCGATGTAAAAGTGACGAAATCCCGTGGATTCATAATTCTTCATACTCTCATGGACCAACGACGCCATCTGTGAGACAAGCCAGCATTCTCTTGCAATGGTTCGTGAAAGTGTTATTTATCATGGACTAGAACCAACATAACGTCGTTCCTGCACGTTATTGATGTTATACGCTTTTTGAAGGCCTAAGATATTCCAAAATCGAAAATGAAGAATTTCATAACCTAGCTCGAGCAATATAGAATACTACAAAAATAGAATTTTACAAAATCAGATGAGAAAATATGGAAAATACTGTCACGAACGGTTGCAAGAGAATGCTGGCATGTCTTGTGGGTATCACGGGTCTTTAGAGCAAACATTTAGTCGCAGTTTAAGATCATAGATGGCGCCAGTGATCCACTAGAGTATCAAAAATCGTGGATCCAGGGAATTTCGACAGTTTTACTTCGATCTCTTTATACAGGGTCTAAAAAGTGGGGGTCTCTTTCATACAAGTTCCAAATTTCCTGGCACGTTTCAACTCGGCGCAATTTTAGGTCGTCTGTTAACACTTTGGGCACCATCTTCGCGCACACTTTTCGCATGGGCAAATTGTTTGTCACATTCTTGTGAACGGTACTTTTTCGAATGTTTAATATCTATGCCATTAAACGAACGCTCAAACGACGGTCTGAGTTTACAAGTTTAAATAACATGCGTTACATTTTCGTCGGTGGTGGTCGTTAGTTAATGGCCGTCTAGCGCGGGCTTCATCGCTAACCTCTCCACGGCCTTCTAAAAAGGCCTTGTACCACTGGTGGACTTGACGATCCGACAAACAATCATCATCAAAGGATCAATCGAAATATACCCGTATACCACCTACATTCATTGTTTACAACCGATGTATAAATGTTTATTGGCAAAAAGCAAAAAACACGTATTTCTTCATTTTTTATGAGTAATCATATCGCGTAAGTGGAACTTAAATAGGAGTGCTTGTTTATTAGATATTACAAAAAAATGTCGCTTAAAGGGTAGTTCACCTCCTTGGGGGGGTGTAGCATTGCTGGACAATATTGTGTTTTCACCGTCCTTATACAGAATACGTTTATACCAAGTTTCGTCGAAATCATTGCTTCTACGAAAATTGTTATAAAAGTCGAATTTTCCCCAAACTGTGGGGGGTTGTTTCACCCCTTAAATGTGGACCATTGCAGATATAAAAAAACACGTGTCTCTTAGATTTTTGTGTTCTTCAACATATATGAAAACCAATAAGATCAGGGGCGGACACTTGGGAATGTTTCCTTGTCAGTATTCAAAATGGCGCTACCACCGAAAACGGGATAGACGAATTTTATTTCATCGACGTCGATGAAATTTCTCGGCGCCCTTCATATAACTTTAATTAGTTAACAGTGATCTTGACAAGAAAACGTCTTACCCAATTTCGCGTTCAACAGAAGAATCTAATGTGGACACTGCAACGTTGGAAGATGGAAATTCGCAGGTTAGGGAAGAATCCATCGAGGCGTCCATGTTATCCAGCACGGAGTATTGCATGGCTGGCGAGGGAAACGATGTGAGGACACTATTACTTTTAATCGTAATTGTTGGGATTTTAGTTAAATAAGAGGGAATTTTATTTGAGACAAGTAGCCTTACAGCAATTCCACGCGGGAAGGAAGAACGGGGGGGGGGGCACACATGTAAACCGGAAGGAGCGAAAGTCAAGCGCCCGCTTCGAGATTAAAAATGGCGCCCGGCGCGAAATTCAAATGCGGAGTAAAACCACGTTGCCACGTAGCATGTGCAATAGTAATTTTGAAACATTAAAAAACAGCAATAAGTGGTTCCACCATCGACGTATCCTAATAAACACGAATTAATACAATATACTTTTAGAAGTAGTATACAATTTTCCCTTAATGTACGCAGTGCTTTTTTTTACGCCAATCTGTTTTTCACGCGGTAAATTATAACACAATTTACGCGGCGAAAAAATATATTTTCCTAGAAGCTTTATATAAAAGTCCTTTTTGGTAGTTAAATTGTGTTGAGGTGAAGCGAAACACGTCGAAAAATTTGATCGACGTCGATAAAAAGCCGTCGATAAAAAGCGGTGGAAGTCATCGTCCCCACTTTGATGGTGAACACCGTTAAAGACCACCCATTACGCGTTCGTCTCCCTCACCCGAGCGAGAAGTACGTTTTGGTTACATCCCACCGAATTCGATGCTAGTGCCATCTAGCGGTGGAAGTCATCGTCCCCAGTTTGATGGTAAACGCCGTTAAACACCACCCATTACGCGTTCGTCTCCCTCATCCGAGCGAGAAAGTACGTTTTGGTTACCTCCCACCGAATTCAATGCTAATGCCATCTAGTGGTGGAAGTCATCGTTCTTACTTTGGTGGTGAGCGCCGTTAAACACCACCCATTACGCGTTGCGTCTCCCTCATCCGAGCGAGAAAATATGTTTTGGTTACCTCCCACCGAATTCGATGCTAATGCCATCTAGCGGTGGAAGTCATCGTCCCCACTTTGGTGGTCAACACCGTTAAACACCACCCATTATGCGTTGCGTCTCCCTCATCCGAGCGAGAAAGTACGTTTTGGTTACCTCCCACCGAATTCAATGCTAATGCCATCTAGTGGTGGAAGTCATCGTTCTTACTTTGGTGGTAAACACCATTTAGCGCAGCACCATAGATACAGTTCCCATTGGCAAGGTTACATTTACCATTCCATATGGTCAGTTTCACCATTTGCGTGATGTCACTTACCACGGTATTTTAACAATGTCGGTAGATTAATTGTAACAAAATTATTTTTTTCTGGGCATTTATTCTACATCCATGGGTCTCATCCACGCGCTTCAAGGTGTTCTTAGAAGACGCCGCAAACGAAACCGCCGTCAGCAGCGTCCAAGCGGAGTTATCTGGAGAAGATTTGGACTTTGTCGACTCAAAGTTGAGTCGTTCGTCCTCGACCAATGCCTGGAATGTCGAGGAGAATAATGCCGAAGAAATGGTCACTCCGCGATCGACCGACTTCTCTGGAAATGAGTTCAACGTGGGACTCTCTACGGAAAATGTGTCACTTGGTACGGCAAACACTCTGTTAATTTTGTACGTTTCCCTGAATTTAAGGTGAAGTGAAACACGTCGAGGAACTTGATCGACGTCGATAAAGAGATTTTTGTAAAAACCTACGTTGCCGACGTTCGTTTTTATATCGACAGCTGGGTCGAATTATGTTGGGTATTGTTCCAAATGGCATCTCCCAGCTGTTGTTTTCGTACAATAATTATAAAGAAATCGAAGTAAAACTTCAGAAATTCTGTGGATTCATGGTTTCTAAGGCCCTAATTAGCTGCAGAGTGACCCCCTGCGCCATCTGTGATTTTCAGGTCAATTAAATTTTCACTCCGAGACCTTGTATTCCCATCGTTTTAGCATAGAAGCGCATACGACACTTTTTTTACCTTTGTCCCGTTCAAATGCGAGTTTATCGACTACCAGAGTGTTCTAAATTGTCGTAAAATTGTCCTGACCCTTTCGATTCTCATATCAGAGCCTTCGATAACTGTATATCGATCGAAATATGAGAGCTCGACGCCATTTTGGTTCTGGTCTGGGCTGAGTTAAAACATTTTGTTTAAAGATCCTAATTTTGAATGTGTCAGGACAATTCTTAGGTGATCAGGAGTGATGTGTCAAAGTTTCGGACGGTTTGGTCTAATACTCTTAAAAAAAAGTGTTGTATTCCAATCGAGTGATTTGAAGGGGGTTTCACTTCACCTTAAGGTGACTCGAAAGACGTTAAGAAATTTAAACGACGTCGATAAATTAAAATTTATCTGTACCCTTTTTGGTGGTAATGCCATTTTGCATATTTAAGTGGTAATGTAAGTCGGTGCGTCCCGTTACCGACATTCCTATATATGTTGGACTTTTACAGTGTACGTTGACAATTATATGAAATCAAGCATTTCATATGTCATTTCGGTAAAGTAATGATAATGAGATCGACGTAAAACTGTTGAAATCCCATGGATTCGCGATTTCTTGTTTGAACTCTAATGGACCACTGGCGCCATCTATGGCGTTCAGCTACAACTAAACTTTTCCTTCAAAGACATGCTTTACCGACGAGACAAGCCTCTTGCAATCGTTGGTGAAAGTATTTTCCATATTTTCCCATATGACTCTGCAACATTCCATTTCTATGGTATTCTAAATTAATCGAGCTACACCCTGAAATTTTTCGGTTTCGATTCTACACCTCCAAGAAGCGAAAAACATCCAACACGTGCACGGACCACGCCGCGTTGGTTCTAGTCCATGATAAATAAACAAAATTTTTTATAAAAAATGAAATTTCACGAGATTCAGAACCTAAGTTAGAGCCTCCATATACACATGGTAAAAATTTGAAACGAGTCGGTAAACCAAATTCGGAGAACACTTTCAGGAACGATTGCATGAGGAAGCTAGCTTGCCCCGTGGGTAACAGGTGTTCTAAGAGCAAAAATTTAGTTCCCGCTAAACGTCACAGATGGCGACATTGGTCCTAAACAGTCGTTAGAATAACAAATTCATGGGATTTCGAGTTTTACATCGATATTTTTATCATTACTTTACTGAAGTGACATGTGGGACATTTAGTATAATTCTCAACAGACTGTAAAAGATTTCAATATAAATATAAATGTCGATAACGTGAGGCGCCAGCTTATGTTACCACTTGAGTATTCAAAACGGCATTACCACCAAAAAGGGTATAGATGAATTTTATTTAATCGACGTCGATAACTTGCATGTACATTGTTAATAATGTATATGCAATAATAATGGATCTTTCTTAGACGACGGCGTTGGCGATTGCGCAGAATCGACGTTTGTTTCAACTTCGAAGAAGATCGTGGACATACGGGACAAAGAGGAAGAAGTTTCAAACATTTCGCAGAAAAACGACGATGAACTCAAAAAGAAGTTATCCATTTCTGGAAATGAGTCGCGTGAAGATCTGCTCGAGAAACCCGACCAGGAGAAAAAGAGCGAATCTTTGAAAAAATCATCTGCAAATTGCCCGACTGAACAAGAATCAAATGCAATGGAGAATCCCGCTGGGTTAGAAGAGTCTTTGTTCATCTCAAGGACTCAGGTATCCGACGAATATCATTTTCAGGTTTACATAGAAAAACATAAGTTGAAGAAATCCGTTCCATTGGTTTTTAACACGTTAAGGTGAAGTGAAACACGCCGAGGAACTTGATCGACGTCGATAAAGAAGTTTTTTCTAAATGCCTACGTTGCCGACGTTCGTTTTTATATCGACAGCTGGGTCGAATTATATCGGGTATTGTACCAAATGGCATACTCCACCTGTCGTTTTGGTACAATAATTATAAAGAATTTTATATCGACAGCTGGGTCGAATTATATCGGGTATTGTACCAAATGGCATACTCCACCTGTCGTTTTGGTACAATAATTATAAAGAAATCGAAGTGAAACTCCAGAAATCCTCTGGATTCATGCTTTCTGGGGCCCTAATTGGCTGCAGAGGGACACCTTGCGCCATCTGTGATTTCCAGGTCAATTAAATTTTCACTCCGAGACCTCGTATTACCATCGTTTTAGCAAAGAAGCGCATACAACACTTTTTTTGCCTTTATCCATTCAAATGCGAGTTTATCCATTACCAGAGTGTTCTAAATTGTCGTAAAATTGTCCTGACCCTTTCGATTCTCATATCAGAGTCTTCGATAATTGTATATCGATCGAAATATGAGAGCTCGGCGCCATTTTGGTTCTGATCTGGACTGAGTTAAAAAATTTTTTTGAAAAATCCATATTTTTAATGTGCCAGGACAATTTTTAGATGATCAGGAGTGATGTGTCAAAGTTTCGGACAGTTTGGTCTAATACCCTTAAAAAAAAGTGTTGTATTGGAATCGACTGATTTGATGGATATTTCACTTCACCTTAAGAGGATATCAAAGGCGCTAAGAAATTTAATCGACGTCGATAAAGTAACGAGTCGATAAAGTACGAACCGAAGGGTTTTATATGTCATTTCGGTAAAGTAATGATAAAAAGGTTGATATAAAACTACTGAGATCCCAAGAATTCATGACTGTTTATATTTTGACCAACCAACGTCGCCATCTGTGACGTTCAGCTGCAACTAAATTTTTGGTCTAAAAACACGTATTACAGTAAGTTCCAGGATTTTTTGACACCCGTTTGGTTGGCAGGAAACGTTTGAAATTTTGACGGAATATTTGTGTGTGTGTGTGTGTGTGTGTGTGTGTGTGTGTGTGTGTGTGTGTGTGTGTGTGTGTGTGTGTGTGTGTGTGAATGCGATCTACAGATCGCATTTAATCCATTTAATTATTACAATTATTATAGTAAGAAACTACAAACTGTTCTTGATTTACACTTTTACTCGCAAACTCACGTTCGCGATTTAATACCCGAGGTAATCGAAACTTGTAAAAAATTGCCACTAATCGAGGTTAGGTTCACTTTGGTTCACTTGTCCCGACTATTTTCATGCGCATCTACGCTGCGCCTCCTGGAGTCTCTTGCTATTGGTTAGAATATTTTGTTCTCTGTTGTTCTCTTTCTATTAGAGTAAGAAGTCACGACACTAGCGCAGTCTTTGCGTGGAGTAGGTGAACTAACTTCCGCGTTACACTCCTCCCATAAGGAGTGCCACCCCCTGTGACTGACCTAGCGATGAATGCGCGCGCATAGGGATTTTACAGAGCTTGCACTACGCTCAAACAAATATTCCCTCAAAATTTCAAAAGTTTCCCGCGAAGCAAACGGATTTAAAAAAATAGTGGAACTTACTTCTGAGACACCCTTTGCATATTACATGACGTATTATACTTACCCAACCCTGGTGCTGTCGATTTCTTTTACTTGGTGTGAGATTCGATCCGCTCCCTGAATAATATTTTCCCGACATATCTCGACTACATTTTCATTCTCGAAATTAGGGGAGTGGAGATAAGACCGATCCGGGACCCCTGCGTCTTCCTCTAAGTATCCTCGAGGAGTTTGGTGCAACTTGTAAGAAGGAAATCGAATTCAAGAAGGCACTTAACCAATCCAAGAGACCTGTCTTCAAGTGCCTCTTCGCGGGATGTACAGGTTTGAACGTTCATCCTTCACTTCCCTCTCATAAATTCCCTCGAAACGCTAAGTTGAAGTGAAACCCCCCTTAAGGTGAAGTGAAACCCCCTTCACATCAGTCGATTCCAATACAACACTTTTTTTTAAGGGTATTAGACCAAACTGTCCGAAACTTTGACACGTCACTCCTGATCATCTAAGAATTGTCCTGACACATTCAAAATTTGGATTTTAAAAAAAAATTGTTAGCTCAACCCAGACCAGTACCAAAATGGCGGCGAGCTCTTATATTTCGATCAATATACAATTATCGAAGGCTCTGATATGAGAAACGAAAGGGGCAGGACAATTTTACGACAATTTAGAACACTCTGGCAGTCAATAAATTCGCATTTGAACGGGATAAAGGCAAAAAAAGTGTTGTTTGCGCTTGTATGCCAAAACGATGATAATACGAGGTCTCGGAGTGAAAATTTAATTGACCTGAAAATCACAGATGGCGCAGGGAGTCCCTCTGCAGCCAATTGGGGCCCCAGAAACCACGAATCCAGAGGATTTCTGGAGTTTTACTTCGATTTCTTGATATTTATTGTACGAAAACGACAGGTGGAGTATGCCATTTGGTACAATATCCAAAATAATTCGACCCAACTGTGAATATAAAATCGAACGTCGGCATATTTCGATCAATATACAATTATCGAAGGCTCTGATATGAGAAACAAAAGGGTCAGGACAATTTTACGACAATTTATAACACTCTGGTAATCGATAAACTCGCATGTGAACGGGATAATGGCAAAACAAGTGTTGTACGCGCTTCTATGCCAAAACGATGGGAATACGAGGTCTCGGAGTGAAAATTGAATTGACCTGGAAATCACAGATGGCGCAGGGAGTCCCTCCGCAGTCAATTAGGGCCCCAGAAAGCACGAATCCAGAGGATTTCTGGAGTTTTACTTTGATTTCTTGATATTTATTGTACGAAAACGACAGGTGGAGGATGCTATTTGGTACAATACCCAATATAATTCGCCCCAGTTGTCAATATAAAATCGAACGTCGGCATCGTAGGCATTTAGAAAACTCTTCTTTATCGACGTCGATCAAGTTCCTCGACGTGTTTCACTTCACCTTAAATCCGTCGACTCGAATAAAACACTTTTTCTATAAGGGTATAGGGTCAAACAATCTGAAACTTTGACACACAACTCATAAGCACCTAGGAATTATCCTGACACATGTTTATAAATTATAAAATATAATATCGATACATACCAAAAATCTGTCGCTCGAGATACTTAGCAAAGATTACACAAAAACATTTATAAGGTATTCTGTGCTACTAGGGAAAGCTTCATGAACGATTGACCTTACGAATGGCAGTTTCGCATCCCAATATGAGAGCTGGACGCCATTTTGGTTCTGGTCTGGGCTACGTTCAAAAATTGTTTCCGAAAATACAAATTTTGAATGTGTCAGGACAATTCTTAGATGATCAGGAGTGATGTGTCAAAGTTTCGGACACTTTGATGGGTATTATTAGACCCTTAAAAAAAGTGTTGTATTCGAATCGACTGATTTGAAGGGGGTTTCATTTCACCTTAATAAAATTAAATATTTTCAATAACAAATAGACCATGTCTATGGTTTTTCTCCTTTTAGTCGAAGCGTGTGGTAATTCGGAATCGATCACGAAAAATGAAGCTGCAGCGAGGATGCTGAAGTTTCTGGCGGGGAAACAAATGGACGACGAGAGCATCCCGGGAATTCCTCCTTTCGCAATCGAACAGTAAGCCGTCATAACTTCGTTAAATCGAATTGATTAGCTACATCCACACACGTAACGATAAGTCGTAGCGATTTGTAATTTGTGCAGTTAAGGTGAAGTGAAACATCCTTCAAATCAGTCGATTCGAATAAAACACTTTTTTTTAAGGATAAAAAACCAAACTGTCCGAAACTTTGACACATCACTCCTGATCATCTAAGAATTGTCCTGCCACATTGAAAATTAGGATTTTTCAAACAAATCTTTTAACTCAGCCCAGACAAGAACCAAAATGGCGTCGAGCTCTCATATTTCGATCAATATACAATTATCGAGGGCTCTGATATGAGAATCGAAAGGGTCAGGACAATTTTACGACAATTTAGAACACTCTGGTAATCGTTAAACTCGCATTTGAACGGGATAAGGGCAAAAAAAGTGTTGTATGCGCTTCTATGCTAAAACGATGGTAATACGAGGTCTCAGAGTGAAGATTTAATTGATCTGGAAATCACAGATGGCGCAGGGGGTCCCTCTGCGGTCAATTAGGGCCCCAGAAAGCAAGAATCCAGAGGATTTCTGGAGTTTTACTTCGATTTCTTTATATTTATTGTACGAAAACGACAGCTGGAGGATGCCATTTGGTACAATACCCAATATAATTCGCCCCAGCTGTCAACATAAAAACGAACGTCGGCAACATAGGCATTTAGGAAAATCTTCTTTATCGACGTCGACCAAGTTCCTCGACGTGTTTCGCTTCACCTTAACTAACCGTTCCCGTAGCGTCTCATTTCACATAGGAAGGGATCTCCAATGAGTTTAGTATCTCATCTACATGAGCATTAGTCAAAAAGGTCTTACAAGGAAACATTCCCAAGTGTCCGCCCCCGATCTTATTGATTTCCATATATGTTGAAGAACACAAAAATCTAAGAGACACGTGTTTTTTTATATCTGCAATGGTCCACATTTAAGGGGTGAAACAACCCCCCAAAGTTTGGGGAAAATTCGATTTTTATAACAATTTTTGTAGAAGCAATGGAGGGATTTCGACGAAACTTGGTATAAACGTATTCTGTATAAGGACGGTGAAAACACAATATTGTCCAGCAATGCTACACCCCCCCCAAGGAGGTGAACTACCCTTCAAGCGACATTTTTTTGTAATATCTATTAAACAAGCATTCCTACTTAAGTCCCACTTACGCGATGTGATTACTCACAATAAATGAAGAAATACGTGTTTTTTGCTTTTTACCAATAAACATTTATACATCGGTTGTAAACAATGAATGTAGGTGGTATACGGGTATATTTCGACTAGCTATATTGGATTATATCGTAACCAATTCATTGTACATAAATCTTGTGAACGTGCTTATTCCTCAAAATGTCCTTGGTTTTCATAGCATGCAATTATTTATAAATAAATTTAAAAAAAAGTTTAAGAGACTAAAATAGTTTCGCAACAGATCCGATGACGCAGTTATCACCCGTTTCCAACTACTAATACAATCTCCTTGGTGAAAAGGTAAAATTGGTCACGATATAACCCAATAAAGCTACTCGGAATATACCCGTATACCACCTACATTCATTGTTTACAACCGATGTGTAAATGTTTATTGGTAAAAAGCAAAAAACACGGATTCTTCATTTTTTGTGAGCAATCACATCGCGTAAGTGGAACTTAAATAGGAGTGCTTGTTTATTAGATACTACAAAAAAATGTCGCCTGAAGGGTAGTTCACCCCCTTGGGGGGGTGTAGCATTGTTGGACAATATTGTGTTTTCACCGTCCTTATACGGAATATGTTTATACCAAGTTTCGTCGAAATCCCTCCACTGCTTATACGAAAATTGTTATAAAAATCGAATTTTCCCCAAACTTTGGGGGGTTGTTTCACCCCTTAAATGTGGACCATTGCAGATATAAAAAAAACACGTGTCTTTTAGATTTTTGTGTTCTTCAACATATATGGAAATCAATAAGATCGGGGGCGGACACTTGGGAATGTTTCCTTGTCAGTGTATAAGATCACTTCTTGGACTTTTCGAATATTTCAATAGGATGACGGAGATTGTTAGTTTCATGGAGGAAACGTCAGATACTCCTGTAAGAGAGTTGTACAAACTTTGTTTGAAAAACCGAGTCAAGGAGCCGGTTTATACAATCCAGAAGGAAACTGTTCCCGTGGGATTTCGAGTCACCTGTCAGGCTTTGCAGCTCACGGCCGAAGGTAATTCTTTGACTTTCATCTTCCTATATTATAAACAAACCACCTAACTAAGGTGAAGTGAAATCCCTTTCAAATCAGTCGATTCAAATACAACACTTTTTTTAAAGGGTATTACACCAAACTGTCCGAAACTTTGACACATCCTGATCATCTAAGAATTGTCCTGACGCATTCAAAATTTGGATTTTTGGAAACAATTTTTGAACGTAGCCCAGACCAGAACCAAAATGGCGTCCAGCTCTCATATTTCGATCGATATACAATTATCGAAGGCTCTGATATGAGAAACGAAAGGATCAGGACAGTTTTAGGACAATTTAGAACACTCTGGTAACCGATAAACTCGCATTTCAACGGGATAAAGGCAAAAAAAGTGTTGTATGCGCTTCTATGCTAAAACGATGGTAATACGAGGTCTCGGAGGGAATCTTTAATTGACCTGGAAATCACAGATGGCGCAGGGGATCCCTCCGCAGTCAATTAGGGCCCCAGAAAGCATGAATCCAGAGGATTTCTGGAGTTTTATTTCGATTTCTAGGTATTTATTGTACGAAAACGACAGCTGGAGTATGCCATTTGGTACAATATTCAATATAATTCGACACAGCGGTCAATATAAAAACGAACATCGGCAACGTAGGCATTTAGAAGAATCTTCTTTATCGACGTTGATCAAATTACTCGACGTGTTTCACTTCACCTTAAAGGTTAAAGATATTCGTTTAAAATCTTACTCCTTATTTAGCACACGGCAAGAGAGAAGTCTCCGCCAGGAATTCGGCAGCAAGCAGTCTTCTCGAAAAGTACAAAAAGCTGCAAGAAGCGTGACAAAGTATACTGATTTTATCAGTTGCGGAGCCTAAAAACTTTCTCAATGGGAAGATAAATCCGAAGGTTACTCTTCGAAATGACGTTCACTATTACACATTTATTAACGGCGTTCACCACCAAAGTGGAGACGATGACTTCCACCGCTAGATGGCGTTAGCATCGAATTCGGTGGGAGGTAACCAAAACGTACTTTCTCGCTCGGATGAGGGAGACGCGACGCACAATGGGCGGAGTTTAGTAACGGGCGAAAATGTGTGGGTATTTTGCACGTATAGGACTCACACAACGGCTAGACGCCTCTGGACTAGGCGCCGAAACGTGGGTGACCCCCGGCCGCCCGAACCCGCCAGGTGGTATTAGGTCCCTACCTAACGTTTTATTTTAAGTAATATTAAGAAAGAGATTAAGCAACGCGTTCGTGCTCCAAAGCGCTCTTGGAGACATGCTCTCCCTCGTTCCTATCTCCCCTTTGTTTATCCGAGTACTTCCGCACCCCAAACTAGATAACAGCCCTGGGAAACGTCAAACATCCAGAATCTCTGGAAAAGACACTTTCCAACTGTTTCCCCTTCGACCTGTCCCCAAGCCAATCACATGAGACATTTCCCTCCTCGATCTTAAAAACCCACCAATAAGCATCCTCCTCCGCGCCTAGGAACATCCTAGGTCAGTATAAAAAGGCCCGCTCAGAAGGGCTCGCTCTCTGATCTATCTAAGTTTGAACCGTCTCCATTCTGTAACCTGCGTGCGAGACACCTGTAACTCTCGGCGAACGCTAGTCCCCTTGAGTTGACCGAGTCTACGAGTCGTTCCTGTAAAACCGAGAGGCAATCGAAAATAAAGTATCTTCGTTACTTTACTCGACGAGGTCTTTGGCTGGTTTCAACCATCTGGAAGCGAATCCCCAAAAACATACCCACGAGGCCAGGTCCGATCGTCACCCTCGGGTAATCGCCATCACCGCTCCCGAGTAAACGATCCCCGACCTAACAGTGGACGCTCCGCCCAGAGTCGGCAACGGTTGGTAAGGAATGCCCAAATTCCTCGCGGGAAATTCGAAAATCCTGCAAAACGTGCTCCACGGGAACAACGATTTTGAGCGTATTTCTCAACCGATCGAGCTCAACGAGTGCTCGTTTTAAAGATAAAACGTTGACGTGTGTTTATGTGGGAGCGATTTTCGATCGAGCACCTCCTTCCTAGTTAAAAGGGCATTGAAATTATGTCGTTGCACTTTTTTATATGAAAATGACCACTTATCGAAAATCGCTCCCATATAAACACAGGTCAACGTTTCATCTTCGATATGAGCACTCGTTAAGCTCGATCGGTTTAGTAATACGTTCGGAATCGTTGTCCCCGTGAGGCCCTGCAAAATCGCTAGAGTGGTGAGCGCCCTTAAATATATGGAAAACGTAAGACAAATATTTTGTTACTAGGGCCTTCTTTGATTCGAATCGTTTCACGGAATTTTAGTGACGAGCCAAGGTAGATTACCGGTCTTCTTGAATGACCAGTAATCGTACACCAACTTGCCGATTATCAAGAGTATCAACAGGGCAAGGATCACGTTGAGGACGTCCAGGGGGTAGAGCCAGGACTCCTCTTCCGGCGAAACACAAATCTCAGTCCTCGTCAGCTCGCGAATCTGAAAAGGAGAATTGTACCGTAAAGTTATTGTTACATTTTTGTTAAGAATCCAGTAAAGACAAGTCGGCCATATCAACCTGAGTCGTCGGGAAATTCCCAGAGGACATGTTGCGAAATTAAGGTGAAGTGTGAAACATTGTTCAAATAAAAAAATCAAAATTTACGATATTCGTTAAATATACAGAAAATATTGGGCTAATATTTTGTGCTACCAGGGAATTGTTCAGTTTACCAACTCCTTTTCTCTCAGCGTACCTGCTTATTGGAATTATCATCACGGGCGTCGGCTGAGCATTTAACGTCGTTGATGTCCTTTATCAGTCGCTCGTATCTGACCAGCAGATCCTGAAAAAGGAACGGAAATGAAAAAAAAACAAAACGAATAAAGGAGTTCCCTCGCACTTGAGCAAAGAGCAATTGTGAGGGTCCGTTCCGACCAAGCACGCCATGTTACAATTACATAACACGGTAATAACGCGACATAAAGCAAATGATATTCAAAAGATACATTAGGTAAAGTGAAACCCCCTTCAAATCAGGTGATTCGAATACAACACTTTTTCTTTAAGGGTATTAGACCAAACTGTCCAAAACTTTGACACATCACTCCTGATCATCTAAGAATTGTCCTGACGCATTCAAAATTTGGATTTAAAAAAAAAATGTTTAGCTCAACCCAGACCAGAACCAAAATGGCGTCGAGCTCTCATATTTCGATCAATATACAATTAGCGAAGGCTCTGATATGAGAATCGAAAGGGTCAAGACAATTTTACGACAATTTAGAACATTCTGGTAATCGATAAACTCGCATTTTAACGGGATAAAGACAAAAAAAGTGTTGTATGCGCTTCTATGCTAAAACGATGGTAATGCGAGGTCTCGGAGTGAAGATTTAATTGACCTGGAAATCACAGATGGCGCAGAGGGTCCCTCTGCAGTCAATTAGAGCCCAAAAAAGCATGAATCCAGAGGATTTCTGGAGTTTTACTTCGATTTCTTTATAATTATTGTACGAATACGACAGGTGGAATATGCCATTTAGTACAATATTAAATATACGACACAACTGTCAATATCAAAACGAAGGTCGGCAACGTAGGTATTCAGAAAAACCATTTCTACCGACGTCGATCAAGTTCCTCGACGTGTTTCATTTCACCTTAAGGTAAAGTGAAACACCCTTCAAATCAGTAAATTCGAATACAACACATTTTCTTTAAGGGTATTAGACCAAACTGTCCAAAACTTTGACACATCACTCCTGATCATCTAAGAATTGTCCTGACCCATTCAAAATTTGGATTTTTTTTTTAAATGTTTAGCTCAACCCAGACCAGAACCAAAATGGCGTCGAGCTCTCATATTTCGATCAATATACAATTAGCGGAGGCTCTGATATGAGAATCGAAAGGGTCAGGACGATTTTACGACAATTTAGAACACTCTGGTAATCGATAAATTCACATTTGAACGGGATAAAGGCAAAAAAAGTGTTGTATGCGCTTCTATACCAAAACGATGGTAATACGAGGTCTCGGAGTGAAGATTTAATCGACCTGGAAATCACAGATGGCGCAGAGGGTCCCTCTGCAGTCAATTAGGGCCCCAGATAGCACGAATCCAGAGGATTTCTGGAGTTTTACTTCGATTTCTTTATAATTATTGTACGAAAACGACAGGTGAAATATGCCATTTGGTACAATACCCAATATAATTCGACACAGCTGTCGATATAAAAACCAACGTCGGCAACGTAAGCATTTAGGAAAATCTTCTTTACCGACGTCGATTAAGTTCCTCGACGTGTTTCACTTCACCTTAATAGAACCGACCATAGGCGTTATGCCTCCTTATGCTACTTCGTAGGTACATCCACGGAATATCTTAGGTCTCGTTTACTCCACCTGGAAGCCGGGGGTGAAGGAACAGTCACACCTCCAGGGATTGTTCCCGAGGTAGATGCTGGCGGCGTTTCTGCTCTGCAAGAGCGCGTTCTCCAGGGCGTAGGTTGGCAGCTGCAAAGTAAAGAAATCTCTTCTCGTTAAGGTGATATAAAAGCGTCAATCTGTATATATCAGAGAAGTCAAATCGTTAGTGAAAGTATTCTCCGAATTGGGTGTACGGAATCGTTTCTAATTTTACTACGTTAATATGGAGGCCCTAATGTATGTCCTAAATCTTATGAAATTTCATTTTTCATCCAAAATTAATTTATTTATCACGTACTGGAACCAACATAACGTGGATCGTGCACGTTTTCGATGTTTTACCCTTCTTGGAAGCTTAATATCGAATTTGAAGAGTTTCTGAACCTTGCTCGAACAATTTAGAATACCGTAGAAATAAGATGTTACGGAGTAAGATGGGAAAATATAGAAAAGACGGTCACCAACGATTGCAAGAGAATGCTGGGGCTGACACGGGTTTTTAGAGCAAAAATTTAGTTGCAGCTAAACATCACAGATGGCGACGTTAGTCCGTTAGAATATAAACAGTCATGAATTAACGGTATTTCGACAGTTTTACATTGATCTCTTTATCATTACTTTACTAAAATGGCATATGGAACGCTTGAGGTTGTATAATTCTCAACGTGAACTGTTAAAGACTTCAACATCAATATAAATGTCGGTAACGTGACGCGCCAGCTTATGTTACCACTTGAGTATCCAAAATGGCGTTACCGCCAAAAAAGGTATAATGAATTCTATTATATCGACGTTGATTAAATTTCTCAGCGCCTTTCATATCACGTTAATAGTGTCAAATTTTTTAGTTTACCAGCTCTATTCTAACCAATAGCAAGAGATTCCAGGAGGCGCAGCGTAGATGCGCATGAAAATAGTCTGGACAAGTGAACCAAAGTGAACCTAACCTCGATTAGTGGCAATATTTTTACAAGTTTCGATTACCTCGGGTATTAAATCGCGATCGTGAGTTTGTGAGTAAAAGTGTAAATCAAGAACAGTTTGTAGTTTCTTACTATAATAATTGTAATAATTAAATGGATTAAATGCGATCTATAGATCGCATTCAATCCATGAAACTAATTATAACAAAAATTAAATTTGTATAGAATTTGTGTAACGAAAAATATTTATACATTCATAATAATTTTATCTTAACAAATATTTTACTTTTTAACTAATGTTTAATGTAATTATATCAGTTCTTACAGTGATTTAAAACAGGCGTTGCGCCACTGACAATTTTGTTACTTCTTTTATGTTTAATATACTGTTTTCTTACATTCGTGTGTCTCAGTTTAAGCAACGTCTGTTTTAATCATTGCAGGTACTTTTTAAATCCCGAAAATATCCCTTCGTTTAATAAATGAATTTGAATAGCCCGCCAAATAATTTAGTTCGCGAAAAAGGTTTACTCCAACCGAAGATGGCGGTAGTGCATAAGCGTTACATCCCAATACTGGCTGTGTCACCCCCCTGATTGGTATATAGATCAGTGGTTTATCAGGAAACTCGGTTGAGTTTCGCGCCAAATATACACTTTGTAACAGAAAATTTTGCCTCAACGTCTCGCGACTGGTCCCACGGAAACCAATGACAAATTAAACACTTTTAAGGCCTTAAAGCGATGGAAACCGTCAATTTTGAATTCGGCGCCGGTCGATCGAAGAGGATCACTCTCAAACTAACACTCGACGCGTTCGTACTTTTGGCAATTGCGTGCCTTTATTTAATTATTAAGTTAATCTAAGTAAGAAGATCATATGAAGTATGATTCAACCAAGAGAGTCGGTTTCCGAAGGACCTTCGGAAACGCGCGTTTTATTTCGTAAGTACTTGTACATTCTGTTCAATTAATTATTCAATGTTCTTGGAAATTCGAAATCTTCTTCCTTTCGGGTCATCCCATTTGGAACCCAATTAGTTATTTCGTAAAATAAACTACATGGAATTGTTTTTGTTAATTTTATTAAAATTATCTGGCGCCCAACACTTTTACGGCCAAGTTTGAGCCCCGACAGCCCTTGACCCAGGCCGCGTCGGGAGCGGACTTTCGATATTTTGGATAAAATAAAATTTTAAATAATAAAGTATGAGAAAAAGAAAGTCCGGTCTCTACTTACATACTCTTATGTCCATGCCAAATACAGAATTGGAGATACCTACATCTGACAACTTGTTCCCCCGGAGATCAAGGAGTCGGAAGTGGTCCAGCCAGTGGGACCCTTCCAGAGGCGCTATGGACTCTATCAGGTTATCGTTCAGGTAGACGTCGACGATTCGTCTGTACTCGGGATTCGTGGCGAGTGAAGACAGGTCAGTTATCTGAAAAAATAGACAAATAGAACCAGGAGGTGGACCCTACCACCCTTGTACCGCAAAATATTAGTTTTATGTTTTCTATATACTTAACGAATACCGTACATTTTGTAAATACTTAACAGACGTTTGAAATATTTTCAAAGAGATCACTTTAGAATATTATCTTTATATTTGCATAACATTAGCTCCGTGCGTTTTCATAATATTTTTCAAACAGATATACAAAATATTTCATTTCATTTTAATACATGCATTTTTTTAATATTATCTGCCGAATACATTATAAACGTTTTAAAAATACTTAAAAATCAAAATCACACGTTTTGCTCCCATAATGAAATAGCTGAACGAAAATATTACAAACATTTGTCGTGTTCTTCGGCACTTTAGCAAAGATTATAAACAAATAATTAGAAATTATTTTACGCTATAAGGGCATCAGGGTTGTGCAGTGACGCGCCATTTGAGGTTTTTTACCTGAAGAAAAAGTGCGTGTCGCGGGACACACGACCGAAGTAATACTTCAGCAATTCATTTGCATTATGTAAAGACGAAGGTTTTACAGGGCTTGTCCGAAAAGTAGTGCCAGTGAGTCGATTTAAAAATATGTATAGATCAGATCGGTACACTGGGAGGGCATTGATGTCTCCCAGTGTAAAGTAGAGGACATGTTATGTACAATGGCGGAGAGGAATGCCTTCTCTGCAGATACGGCATTGCCTATGCAGGATGGGAGGGCATTGGAGGACATGTTATGTCACTTTACACTGGGAGACATCAATGCCCTCCCATCCTACATAGGCGATACCGTATCTGCAGAGAAGGCATTTATGTTCGCCATTGTACATAACATGTCCTCCACTTTACACTGGGAGACAGCAATGCCCTCCCATCCTGCATAGGCAATGCCGTATTTGCAGAGAAGGCATTCCTGTCCGCCATTGTACATAACATTTCCTCCACTTTACACTGGGAGACAGCAATGCCCTCCCATCCTGCATAGGCAATGCCGTATCTGCAGGGAAGGGATTCATGTCCGCCATTGTACATAACATGTCCTCCACTTTACACTAGGAGTTTAATGCCTTCCCATCCTGCATAGGCAATGCTGTATCTGCAGGGAAGGGATTCATGTCCGCCATGGCACAACACATCAAAAGGTTTCAAAATAGGCTCCTCCTGCGTCGACACATCGCTTCCAGCGAGATTTTCAGCCATCGAAGGCGACACGGTAGGTCTCCTCCGAAATGTCCTTTAAAGCTTTGGTGCAAGCCGCTTTGACGTTGTCACCTGTCCCCAAAGGATGTCCTTTCATGGGAGTTTTCAAGCGCGGAAGCTAAAAAAGTCTGGGGGATTCACGTCAGGGCTGTAGAGCGGCTGGGGAACCGTTGGCACCTTTGAATCGGCCAGGAAGCGGGTCACGAGGAAGGCGTTTTGGGCACCAACTTCGCGCAAACTGTTCGCATCGAGTCGAGGAAATAGAAAGCAACCCTATTTCCTGGCGCGAGGTGTAACACCCACCACGTGTTTCACTCTACTTTCTTGTATACCAGACACATGTAAACGCGTTCTTCGAGGGCAGCGAGCAAGTTCCAAGAGCAAATTGAAGCAGTTTTGTGCAATCTTGTGTTGAATTTTGGGTTGAAATGGCCCAAAGGTGGGCAGAAGACCCCACGTTGACATTTGTTAATCGTATCGAGGGGAAGTACACCTCTGGAATTCGAAACTACAACAGAACAAGACTAGAGAATAGAGGACAGCTCTTCACCCAACACGCTTAAATACTGTTTAATCATTTTGTTCGTAAGATGTTTAAAATTGCGTCGGTCCTTCGACATTTTTGGGGTAGGGTAAGTCCGGGATAGTTGGACCATGTTTTTTTAAAGTCATTTTTTCTGAAACTTCGCAATGTCTAGGATTTGGTATATTTTTTTATAATATGTATATATGACCTTGAACAATTGTAAGCACTTCTCCAGCTGTTACACTAATCACACTTGAAGTTATGATTTTTTCTTTTTTTTACTCGGTAGTCCATCTATCCCGGGGGTACTCGGGTTAGATGGACCACCTCCTAGGGATTGATGGACCTCTGGTATACGTTACTAAATCAGGGTGTAACACAAGAAATACATGTTATCAAAGGTATAAACATTGTTTATTTCAAAGTATAAAGTTATAAACTGCTTGAAAAGTGATTAGTATAGAGTTATAAACTATTTGAAAAAGGATAAGTAAATTTGATAGTCAATATACTTAGAAAATATAGGTAGTCTGATTTATATTCACATCCATCCATCCATTCATCCATATATCCATTTATATAGAAAGTAAAGCCCTAATAGGAGATATGGTCCGCCTATCCCAGGTTTTTTCAAGTAGTCCATCTATCCCAATTGTCGGGGATAGATGGACCAGTTTCCCGTCCAGACAAACAACGCTACCGGCATGCCATTTTAGGTCAAGATTATACTCAAGTATACACTTGAGTTATAGGATTGATCTTACGTCGAAATCATTTAAACTAACTTAACCACATATCAAATAAATCCAGTATAAAATATTTTTCAACTCACCAAAAGAAATAAACAAAGTTTTCTTCTAAAATACGCATGAAACTCACGAGCAAAACTAAGCGTGGTTCCGTCTACTCAAGAAGAACAACTTCAGACAACGACTGCAGCGCTGCTGTGGCACCCCAGCCAAATACTCGACTAGTCCGTCTATACCGGTGGTCCATATATCCCGGACTTACCCTATAGCACATGACTTTTTGTTTCCTACTATGCAAGTACCAGAATGCTGGGTGAACGGTCCTGTCTTGTAGAGCACTCGCTTCCAGCACTCGGTTTTACTGACTCGTACGAGTTACTGGCACCATGTAAATTAGCCTTTATTAGACTCTTGATTATCATCTGACGAGAAATTTCCAACGAACCTTGTTGTTGGCCAGATGAAGAGTGGTCGTGTTCCTCGGTAGGAAGTTTGGAAGAGACACCAGACCTCGACTGCTACAATTCATTGAGGCCAAAGCCATGGGATCTCGTCTTCCATCGCCTCGATCTTGTCGGTTCACAATGTAAACCAGATTGCAGTCGCAGGGCGTGAGCTTGCACTCCCTCTCTAGCCTCTGAATAAATTATTGCAAATATCAATTACAGTTCCTGCTACAGTAACCACCTACTTTATCTGCACGGTAAATAAGTACATTTGCACTCTTAAGGTGAAGTGAAACACACCGAGGAACTTGGTCGACGTCGATAAAGAAGATTTTTCTAAATGCCTACGTTGCCGACGTTCGTTTTTATATTGACAGCTGGGTCGAATTATATTGGGTATTGTATCAAATGGCATACTCCAGCTGTCGTTTTCCTACAATAATTATAAAGAAATCAAAGTAAAACTTCAGAAATCCTCTGGATTCGTGCTTTCTGGGGCCCTAATTGACTGCAGAGGGACCCCCTGCGCCATCTGTGATTTCCAGATCAATTAAATTTTCACTCCGAGACCTCGTATTCCCATCGTTTT